ATTAAGTATCAAATTATATCCGTAAAAGTTTTTTACTAGTTGATATTTTTTGTTATTACGACTTCAAAATCATAAATATCTGCTGCTAACTTAAATTGCTGACCATCAACAAATTTCTTGAGTGATGTAAGGCAAGTTTTAATAAATACTGCTTGCAATGGTAGGTTATAACTGTGTAAAATATTGCCACTATAGAAAACAGTATGAACAATGCATTTCTTGCAAATCATATAAAACATTCTCAGAATCTCAAGATTTTTCCTATTGATATATTGAATAACATTAGATATTTATTTCAGTGTTTTAAATTAATCCATATGTTTTAAGCATACTAACCTCAACATTGCAAGTTATTGTTAAACTTTAAATATTCTTACAAAAAAATTAAGAGATACTTTCAAAATCAGAAAGGTTCTAAGCATAATTGTGCTAGGTGATTCATATATTTACAAAGGTAAAGCTATCATCGTCATAACCATATTGTAGAAAAATAATGAGAAGCTTACGCAATATAAATAAACAGCTACTGAAATAACTAATAATATAAAAAAAACTGCTAAAATGGTCAATGTCTCCACTCTTTCCTTTATCAAACACCCAATTCGGATATTTAATATTTTTTCTTGATCCTGATTCCATATTTTCCTATGCTGGCATACTCCAAACAAGTGGGAAATCGCCAGCTGATGCCACTTCTTGTTTGGCCTACTATTATGATGATACCTGATGTAATTCTACTTGCTAATCTTCTGAGAGCACATCATTGTTTCAGTTCAAATTACTTAAAAGTTATTAATAATGATCAATTAATGCATTCTGCAGACTTAGGATGCTCTCAAGCACCTAAATTAATAAATAGTTCAGCCGATCATGTGAATCTATCATTGCAATGAGAAAAAAGATGGTTTCGCCATCTTTTTTTTATCATAGACTTGTGCTGATTGGCTAAAATTTAATATCCGCATTTCACGATTGTTATAAAGATTGCTTCAATTAATCATAGTGCTTGTGCATGATCTTGATTACTAGCAAAACTCATTGGGAAATATGCTTGAGAGCACCATTAGAGTATTTTCAAGTGCCTAAATCAATTGATCTGAAATAAAATTTTAAATAGACAGGTGTCAAAAAAATTGATCAAGTGAATTGCCGCTTCACTGAAAAAAGTCTGGAAGCCAAAGCATCTATTTTTATTGAGTTAATGCTGGTTGGCTAAAACTACTTATTGATAGTGTAAAAAAAGAAACTGTTCAAGCATTTTGCTTTATGTCATGAATCTTCAGCGAAATTGTTATCGTCAAAAAATTATTATATTGCTTTTTATATTAGAAACTCTTATCCAAGATTTATTATCTTTTAACTTTTATATCAAGTGCGGCAATTTTATTTTTATTTTTTTTTTTTACTACAAAAAACTCTGTATTCAAATACTTCATTATTGTTTGCGTTGGTTTGTTCGAAGCTAAAGA